TAGTTTTCTTTGTCACAATAGATAAAAAGAATTTAAAGCTTGAATCTTTGCACTGAAATAAAATCCGTGTGATAGAATAAGTCTAAACCGTTATGTGAATAAATATCGGATTCATAATTCAGGTGAGGCTGAGCCTCTACGCACCAAAAACAGGTAAGGCTCAAGCCTCACGAGCCTCTACGTTACGCCGCCTATGAGCTTAATATGAAATCAGAAACATAGACATGAATAGAGGCACACATCACATATACATCGTTGTTATCATATGTATCAGTGAAATAATATTGCATCTGATTTCGATATGAATTAGAAGCGCAAGAAACTACTTTATAATTAATCAAAAGCTTTCAATAATAGAAATTCATAAAAGCTTCAAAATGAAATTATGTTTCTTTAGATATATTGTGTGATGATAATTGATCACCATAAACTTCTTTCTGTATTATCTCTTTTTTTATGAACGTAAGCAGTTCATCAGCAGCTTTGAATAGCACAAAATGAAGCTTTCGAATGATATGTTCCGGACGACTAATGTGATATATTGTCGATAAAAGTAGACAGACAAATTTTAGCTACTTGAAATAACTAGTTAATAATAGCTACTATTCTTTACCGATATGTCTCTCATATATCATTTAGATACATCCAAATTTCTTGCGGATTTCTTCGACATGTTCAATTCGGAAGACAACTGTGATCGAGAAAAAAATCTCTTATTCATCATGATAAATATTTAGGTATTCGATTCATGTGAAAGAAACATTGACTGCTAAACTTGTATTGATCAATACTGAAAACCAAATGACAGAAATATAAAGTTTGTTGGCATCATTAGTAATGTCTTCTCCAGAGAAGTATACAATAACTTGAATTGTAGCAAGCTTCGAGCAGGGGCAAATTATTTCGAATTAAAGCTAACTGAATTGTTTGCAAAACAATATTTCTAGCGCACGACTTAAAGAGAATGGAATACAAAATGTATGGATCCTGATCTTCTCTTAACCCACACACTCACAGTCGTACTCATACACTACACATCCATACCTATAGTTCCAAGATAGAAAATCGTTTAAATCGATCAGTCTTGTTCATATGTACGTAGCAATCAAACTAATCAACGATCACTACGCTTCGATGATTCTGTTTATTTCATCAAAAGTACGATATTTGAAGGTGAGCTCTTACGTTTATTGTTGTTTCGTTAACCATTCAACTTAAGTGCTGGCAAATATTCGATTTAGTACTCTCGATTTCTTTTTTTTTTGAGTTATACCTATGTACAGGTGTGCCTTTTTTTTGTTAATTTTAAGGTAACATATTGTCTCTTCGTCATTCTTTCACAAGCTAAAAGCCATTAAAATTACGTTATCGATTGATCAAAATAACATGTGCATTTTTTTCTTTTACATTTTTCCTCTTACTAATGGCTTTTGCTTAGCATCACTTCTCGGTTTGTGTACCGAGTCAATCTGAATAATCGATATTTTTCATTTGAACGAAATAAAACGCGAAGAAAAGCAAATAGAAAAACGAGACTATGCAATGTACATAATTAATTCGAAGGTCATTTATTAAAACAGTGATAGAGATCGTCCCCATTGCTTTTCATTTAATACAAAAAAAATCACATCAAACTCAATCATTGGAAGAATGCTGCTTTTGCAGAAACGAGCTGATTATTGGTTGATAGAGTAGATGACAATCTATGATAGAGCATGATAGAATCTATAGTATAATTTTAGAATTTTGTGTTCTGCTGGCAAAGATATTGTTATGACAATACATGAAAGTTTGATAGTACAGCTGACTCTCATATTCGCACACTTCTGAATTTGCTATTTCATAGATATGTAGATACTTTTCTCTACGCGATGTCGGCCATCATGTGGTGGCAATAGACGGAACGAGACGCTTCGACATTTTTATCTTTTTTTTCCTACTCGGTAATCTTCATCAATATTTATCTGTATATATGAGTGAATATGTTAGCAAAGCAATCATGTTCTCTCTAGATTGTCTTATCACCATTGAGCACATAGTGCATAGCTATAATTGAACAACGGCTCTTGGGATATACTTATTCAGCATTCATTCATTCTTTGACATCAATTATTCGGATAAATGATTTTTGGCACTCCATCCGTGCCCGTGGAACAATCTTTTCAACCTCTCATTCTTTTTTTTTGGTTTTTTGCGTCGAACTGAGGCTTCTCTGCTATAATTCGCTGCAATATAATTCACACTATTGGAAAAAATAAAAGGCAGAGTCACGATGCATGAACATTATTTTAGCATTTTTGACCTGTGCGTCTTTAGTATAGAGTCTTTCTGCAAATACGCAGTCGGGGGAAAAAGGCAGTTACGCTAATTAACTCATTTTATTTCAGAAAACATTCGATAATAACCAATAGAAAACTTCATTCGATATTCAAGCGTTTTACTTGAGGATTATAGTAATCGAGCACATAGAGATTGTCGTGTTGATCGAATGGTAAAGTGATCGGAGAATTGAGTTGATTTTTTTGTTCTCCTTGACCATTTTCACTAACCATGATACTTCCTTCTGTGCTATCTATGACTCAACGTACTACTCAGTTATTTCCTAACTTCGCTACATAGACAGTATCCAATTGATCGGCAATCACTCCATGAGGACAAGAACATTGTGTTAAATGATTTCCTTCACCTTGACCACCAGTTACAACAATCCCTTCTTTCGAGTTCTTCATCCAATACACTGCACGATGATTGCTACAGTCCGACCCATATATGGAATGATCTCGATTAACAAAAATGTGAAAAGCTCTATTAAGTTGATTAAGACAATCACCCGCTCCATTTCCACCTGCGATCACCGTCCCAATACCATTATCTTCTACTCGCCATCGTCTGATAACATTCTCCGACGGAGAAGAGATATAAAGAAATCCCTGATTATCTATCATCAAACTCAAGCAGTCGATGTTGGGGATGATCGTTTCTCCACTTGTACCACCTTGGCGAGGCCATCGTACTACTTGTGTGTTCTCATAGTCACAAATGATAAGACTATCTGTATCTTTGTCAACAATCACATCCATTGGATAATTCAACTGATCAGGTCCGTCGCCTTGTTCATTCCATAATACAGTGATTGAAAAATCCCATTACCTCCGGCGACAGTGACACCATTCGGTGATCATGTGACATTAAGTGAAATCTCAGTGCTGCGTAGTAATGATGCCTCGAAAAAAGAAGAGTCTCTGTTGAGAAAATAATCGTCGTGACCTAAAAAATTCTGTTGATCATTACTACAAGCAGCAACTTATCCGAATTTATTCGTTATATATCTCATTCCATGTCGTGAAACTCATGGTAATTTTTGATAGTTTACAAAAAATTGTCATGTATTATGTTTTCTAAAAATTCCATTGCACAATATGTTGCGAAATTCATTACGAAAAAAAAAGCATAAAATTCAATATTTCCATTTTGTTTTATTTGATCAAAGAAGGTCTAATATTATTCTTAGTGCTGTAGGCAAGAAGATTTCCCAATTCTTTCTTATTTATTGATCAAAGTTTGGCTAGCATCATTTAAAACAAAAAATAAGGTTTACTTCAATACAAAATAATAGTCGATTACTTAAGCATGACAAACCAAAATGACTGCGTGGTTCACTTGGGTTTTAGAGAGTTTCATGCATAAGAGACTGTTTAAAAGAATTACAAAAACAAATTATGAGAAGCATCGATAAAATCTAAACGAATGCTGTTACTTTCAACTCTTGAGTAACAATAACAACTAAATCTTGACTGTTGCTGTATTCTTGATAGTAACCATTCCTGTATTAAAGCAAATTGTCATTGTAGTAAGCGTTACTCGTCAATTTTGTATTGAAGTAAACCTTATTTTTG